CTTATTTTACCGATATCAAGCTGCTTACCACTTGAACGAGGCATAAGATAATCGTGTATGTATTCTTTACTTAAACGACTGCAAAGGTGATTGAACGCTTATTGTTAAATAATTGAGAAATACTTAAAACAAATACTAATTTATAATCATTCAGAACTTAATAAAAAAAGCCTCCAGGTTTAACTTAACAAACGATTTTGTTTAATTGATTTTGTTTGCGTTGATTACGCTCTATTAGTAGTTTTGACATTGAAATTTTAATTTAATTTAATTGATTTACTTGATTATTTTTAAGAATTAGTAGCTAAAGTAATATCATATATAAATAACATTAATCCATAACCGTTAATCGTAACTGTTAACTGGTAAAACTGTTACATTTAACAAGTTAATAAACCGAATCATTAACACCAAATGATTTCGATTAATTGAATTGCTAAAAATGATGATTAACAGTTAAGCTTACAATTACGAATTTTGATAAATGATTAACCGTTAATAAAATATATTTATAAATATATTTCTAATTTATTATATTTTTTACACAAACAACTTAATATAATTAATATATAATTTTAATAAAATTTGTATACAAATAACTTAATATATATATATATATATATATATATATATATTGAGTTTTTCATTTTTTATTCCTTTGAAAATATAGAAAGATGCTTACACTAATATATTATGTGTTTATTGTTAGGTATTAAGACATTGAGAGATGTACATACTTACAACAGTGTAAGTTTGTGTTAAGTTCTATACTTTTTTTATTTTATTCACTTACACCGATGTAAGTATATATTAAGTGCTACACTTGTTTGTAGTATGAATTATGAATTTTTTTTGAAAAATAATTGTAATAGGTTAAATGTAGGTTAACATGGAGTCGAACTGTTAATAATGATTAACTGTTAGCTGTTAATTATTTTTAAATAATTAGGTTACAGTAAAAAAATCCCATGATCGTTCATGAACAACCCTATCATTGACTAAAATACAAATAAAATAATACATTTTTTTATATTAAGTGTTTAATTATTTTTTCAATATTCTAATAGGATTACAATATAATATTTGTATTCCGTTTCAAGTATATATCGTTATTCTATTCCACCTTAGATCACCTAATAAGAATATGTATACTTGGTTTTTCAACGTTTTGTGTGTCTTGTAGGCGTTTTTTCTGTAACCTCGATTATCCTTATGTGTTCTGTTTTCCCTTCTAATTGGAGTGTTTTTTTTACCCTCCCGGTTCTAAGGTTTCGCCTTAATTAATCCGGATCGATCCGCGTCGCACACCTGGTTTTGGTGAGTGAGTCTCCCAGCAGAGATTTTCTACATACACAATGACTCGAACTTGATACCCTACTTAACCGATATCAAGCTGTTTACCACTTGAACGAGACATAAGGTAATCTTGTATGTATTCTTTACTTAAATAAAAATTACTCATCGCTGAGGAAAAAAATTGTCGAGTCACATACTCAAATGAATTTTTTTAATACCAATACATTACATCACCAAATTCACACAAATCCAAATATAATGAATGCATGCTGTCTAATAACCAATGCTGGGTTGTAACAAATAAAGAGATTTTGAATTCATCAAAGCAAAGATGCTAAAAGAGAAGGTGGTTTGGGTTAAATGACCTAAAATTGTATTCAATTTGCTTCTTTTTGAAGAGAAGTAATCAAATTGGTGGTGTATTTTAGGTATGATAGACATGAAGGCTTCACCAAATCATAAAGATTTTAATAGACTAAACCGTCTCAATGTGGGGAACAAATACAATGGCTTTGAAATTTGGGTACCAATCAACACCGCCTTTCCCCACAATTCAAGCCTTAAATTTCGAATTAAGCTCAAGTTTCTTACAACTTACATTAAGCTTAGTTCGACTACACCCCTAAATATAATAAGTACGAATGTATGGTATTCAACCATCAACAGTCGTTTATCTTCATTCCAAATTTTTTAATTTATTATTATTAGATTTTGTACTGTTTGAATGGAAAAAACATGTTTTTTTAAAAAATATTTAGTAAATAATCATAGATAAAATAATAAAGGATTTATATAGAAATCTATTAACCTCGGGTTCCATTCTTAATTTAATAATTTGAAGTTTTGTGTTTAGCCTGTTGATCAGATATGGTGACCGTACCAAAAGAAAAAGAAAGGAAGTTATCATATTTAATTATTATAAAAAGGTTAAGGGTTTGATAATAAATAGAGAAAATACAAGTAGATTATTGAGAACGTGGACATTGCCATGCACATAATTACCCTGGAGAAGATCTCTATATAAAACAATGGTTCGCCACAGTTTTGATTCAGAGCCTTAACCCTAAAGCCACATTTTTCACTTCACTTATTTTGATCGTCATGGATTCTTCATTTTCCAAGTTTTCTCGGGCTTTGCTTCTCCTCGTGGTTTTCTGGGAAATCACCAGCTGCAACGCTCAACTTTCAACAGATTTTTACTCGAAATCATGTCCGAACTTGTTTCAAACTGCCAGATCCACCGTGCATTCTGCTATAAGGAAAGAAGCCCGCATGGGTGCTTCGTTGCTTCGATTGTTCTTCCATGATTGCTTCGTTAATGTAATTTCTAAAACCATTTACACCTTTCGGAAATCATGCATGTTATTTCCATGGTTTTTTTTGTTAATGCGTTTTAGTTTTGGGTGATAGGGATGCGATGGATCACTGCTACTGGACGACACACCGTCGTTTACCGGAGAGAAAAATGCGGCTCCGAATGTGAACTCGGTTCGGGGATTCGACGTGATCGACGACATAAAGTCTGCAGTTGAGAATGTTTGCCCCGGTGTTGTTTCTTGCGCTGATATAGCGGCCATTGCTGCTAGAGACTGTCAATATTGTAAGTCGTAATAATTAAGCGTGTGTATATATATGGATGGATGGATCAAAGGAGGCAACAGCCCCTTTTAAATTTTTTTATGTATTTTTATTGATCACACCCTAACATAAAATCATGTTCGTAGATGGGAGGCCCCAAGTGGGAAGTGAAGCTTGGAAGAAGAGATTCGAAGAATGCAAGCCAGGCTGCTGCGAATGCTAACATTCCTCGTCCAAGTTCGAACTTGACGCAGCTCATTTCCGGGTTCAATGCCGTCGGTCTTTCCACCAGGGACTTGGTTGCTTTATCTGGTTCGTAATCTTTTTATATAGTCATCGTATTATTAAATTATGGTTGTAGCCATTGCCAACATACAGTGTATTTTGTTTTAAAATAACTATATTTTTATATTGCGGATGCGATAATATATCACGGATCAAAGTTTGTACGTAGTTAAGTTACTAATGGCAAATAAAACTGTAAATTGTACAGGGGCGCACACAATCGGACAAGCAAGGTGCACAGCATTCAGGGCTCGCATATACAACGAGAGCAACATCGATCGCTCCTTCGCTAAAACAAGGCAAAGGAATTGCCCGACAGCCGGTGGGTCCGGGGACAACAACTTGGCACCGCTTGATATCCAGACTCCGACGCAATTCGACAACGAATACTTTAAGAATCTGGTGGGAAAAAGGGGATTGCTCCACTCGGATCAAGAGCTGTTGAGTGGGGGATCAACGGGTTCCATTGTTAGGGCATACAGTAGGGATCAGAGATCCTTCAGCTCTGATTTTGTTGCAGCCATGATTAAGATGGGAGACATTAGCCCCCTCACTGGATCTCAGGGAGAGACCAGGAAGAACTGCAGAAGGGTTAATTAATTATTAGTTCATCACTTTTTTTTTGAATTTCATAACAAAGTAGTCCTCAAGTGGATTTGTGTTTAAGATTATATGCATTAAAATTGTGTGTGCGTTTTGTTGTATGGCTTATGCCCATCGATGAAACTATGAGTTTAATCCAAATCTAGCTTTGTGAAAAATACTCATTGATGAAGATGATAAAACTTTACATAAAACGATGGTTTCCACCCCAAACTAATTCATTTGCCGCCTCTAATTATAGTAATCATCGAAATCTTCTTAAACAATATGAAATTGATTACGACTTCAACCAATTCCGCCACTTAAATTCTGTTTTTATATTAATTATTTAAGTTTAATTTCATTCACTTTAATTATTTATAATTATTTTTTTATCAATGGCATGCGTCATAATATTATGGTATTACGTGTCATTATATTTGTTATGTGTTTGAGAATTAAGTTTTTAGGTAACACTACAACAACAAAATATAAAAAGTTAAATTTCAAATTAATTCTATTAATTTGTATAGATTTTTATTTAAATTAATTACATTAATTATAATCAAATATTGAATCTTTATACATGTGTTCAAATTGCAATAAAAAGATGACTAAAGTAAATAATTAAGGGAAGACTACACTAATGATAGCCGAACTTTAAAAATAATTTCATTTTGGTCATTGATTTTTTTTTTTGTAAATAAATCCTTTAGCTTCTGTTTTCATTTTCACCACTATGGTTATTTTCCATTAGTGACACATGTCATCATAATGTGGGGATATGATTTTAGAATTAATATTCATTTATTACAAATCGATAATATTAGTGACTATTTATTACTTTTAAAACTTTAGAGGAAAAAACGAAAACTTATTTAAACAATAGTGGCCAATTTGTGTAGTTTGCAGTTTTTTACTAAGATTTCGTTTTGAAATTCCTGAGCCTCACCTCATCTCTCTTTAGACATCCCCGCCGCCAAACAAACCCAGCTCTTTTCTTGCCTTGAAGTTTCCGGCAGACCAGGAAATCTAATTAGGTGATTTTTGAAACCCTAAATTTGACTTGAAGATATACGACTCGGTTGGTGTTATCTGCTCTCTGCTATATTTGATTTTCTGTTTTCCATCCCACTGTTTGCTTGCTACTTTGTCTTGTTTCATATTATATCTCTGTTTGCTTTGTTGAGAAGGGAATTTTTGAAGTATTTTACTTGATTTTATATTTTGAAGTATTTCTTTGGTAGATTAGATGCAAGATTGTTTTCTTTCTTTCTTGAGTTAGGGTCAAGTAATAGGGAACACATTGAATTAGTTTAAGACTCGAACTTTGAATCGAGAACTGGGTATTGAAATGAGTTCAGGCAGTAATTGGGTATTGTCAAAACTATTACGTTAACATTTGGTTATGATCATCGTACACGTACCTCAAAATTAGCATACTTACCTGTTATAATCTTAATTCTTCATGCTGTCTGAGATTGTCTCCCCATACGCACCTTTCTCCTTTTACTTTCTTTTATCCTTATCGACTCGTGGTACCATCTCAAGTATATCCTTTGATTTTTTTTTGTCCGTTTCATGCCCTTTTTATTTGAAATTTTGATTTGGAAATTCCACAGCTTTTGCAGATAGTGATTTTGGCTTGTTATAGTCGAAGTGAATACAGAAAAAGAAAGAAGATGGAATCAGTTGTGGGCGTTGTTGTATCAAATAAAATGCAGAAATCTGTGGTAGTAGCAGTGGACAGGCTCTTCCACAACAAGCTTTACAACCGCTATGTCAAGCGCACCTCCAAATTCGTGGCCCATGATGAAAAAGATCAATGCAACATTGGTGACAGGCTATGTCTTCCATTCTTTGGATCAATGTTTGAGTGTCTTGTACATCAGTGTCATATTAATATTGCAAACACTTCAATATGTGCTTTTCTTAGGTGAAGCTAGATCCTTCTAGGCCGTTGAGCAAGCGTAAGCATTGGGTTGTTGCTGAAATTCTCAAGAAAGCTAGAATCTATACACCTCCGTTGGTGGATACTGCTGCAAATGCAAGTAACAAGAATGAAGCCCCACTTTCTTCAACCTCTTCAGGTCCTGCACTACTTCATTGTACTTGGTTGTAAATATCAAGTTCATGATTTACATCTAAAAGAACCCATTACTATCTTTGTCATGCTTATGAGCAATAATTTATTCATGAATGTTGATTTTTATGGGATCTCTTCTTTTCCATGTGTTGTGAGTGTCATTATATTGGTTTAAAATCTGAGGGCAGTTGTTTTGACCAACGTTTGAGAGCTGTTGGCAAATATAGTGTTCCTATTGCTGAATCCTGTCAAACGTGTCTCGTGACTTGAATAGGTTTATCGATGACTAGCTAGCGTGTGTGATAGCATATGATCTTGGTAACTATGGTCTGGTTTCCTTCATATTATTGCTTTCCGACCGAGTAATCTCCAAGAATTGTCTTTTCAAAAGCCTATCTACTTGGTGTGCTTTCATTGAATTGGTTTGTGGTTTACCATTGGTGCATTCTAATGTAAATTGTAATGACCTTGTTTTAGAATATAGCATACTAATAATGGGTGGAGAGCATAAGCTTCTTTGACACTTTTTGAAAAATCACAATTTTAATCCTCAATAGAAATTCGGCAGATTGTGGGTATAAGAAATATTAAATTGTCAAGTTGTTCAACTTGTGGAATCTAAAGTAGGATATGTCTCCCTGCTGATCAAATTGACGTAATCTAAGAACATCTGACATTGTTGCAATTTTTACTATTTGCCGTCTGACACCTTAATTCAGTAAGTATTAATGAACTACCAGTTAATATGCATTAATCCAAGGTTTTTCTTTTGATTTTATTCAGGTTCATAACTATGAATTTCTAGAACATTAATCTTGAAGACGTCATTTCCTAATAGCATCTAATATGTAACAGCTGTCTCTGTATAAGTTGAAAAGATTCCATGAGAATTCCATCGAGTTATTTAATTATTATTTCCTTCAACACGCATTAGTTTAATTATTATTTCCTTCAAGATATATATATATATATATATATATATATTTACGGTTTTCTTTCATTGAGTTATTAGTTTCAATAAACTAGAACTCGTTGAAGGATCAACGTGGAAAAAGTGAACGTCGTTATCCTTAAAAGTCACAGGTTTTAATAAATGCGTCTATAAGATGTGTGCATTGCCAATGACTAATAAAGATTTTGAAGAGATACTATATTATAATCATCCAAATTATTAAGAAGACCCCAACAAACTAATATTTGCCTAAATTAAATGTCACATTAGTGATGATAAATGAGTTACTCCATTTTGTTGCTATATATGATAGGTTGCAATCATCCCATATATTGTAAAATCCCAGGTAGATTGTGAAAGCAAGCACATAATTTCCTTTTTCTCTTTTTAATCAATGTGGGATTTTTTAAAAAAATTAAAACAATGAAAGAATTGTATAGAGACAAGGGGGAGATGCCATGATTTCAAGCAACGATGACATGAGACCAAATCCCATCACATCTTCTGGAATTCTAGAGACTCAACAATATGATATTTATGAGCAGTAGCTTGCTAACTTAAATGAGCAATACAAGTTTCAAAATACTTCTTAATTTCCCACACGCCAAGCAAACCCAGCAAAAATAATCCTAGCTAGCTGGCAAATGCCACCATCATTGACTAAATTTCAATATATTTGTTTACATTTTCACTAAGTACCAACTTACTGACAAGATTCACTTATAGTATGCACAATTAATTATTCAATACACACAAGGTTGAGAAGTGTCAACCCAACCAATAATGGAACCACATTCATCACCTGTGAATAATTAACGAGGGTAAGCTTTGCCCTAGATTCTCACTTCAAAACATATTTATTTGATATTATTATCGTTGCAGTTAATTTAAGATTATTGGTTTGGACATGTTTAAACGGATATCCTTTAATATAATTAATGAATAATGTTATATATATATATATGTGTGTGTGTGTGTGTCCTTTAGAAGTTTCTAACCGACATGAGGATTATCAAAAGCACTGTATATTCCTTTTGTCCCCCTCTCCCAACTTCATGTAATATTAGATCCTTCAATGGCACAGAATAGCATGGGCTTACAGCCTGTCCTTCACATGCAACCTATTCACCCTCCCCAATTCATAATCTAAATTTCAACTGGGATCTCCCCCGTCACAAAAACTATACATTATTTCTCACTTCTCTTTGCCAATGTCACCATTGTCTAGGGATCAGGGCTGGATATCGGGTCGGTTAAAAGAAATTCAAACCCGACCTCGAAAAGACGAGCAAAGAACTTGACTCTAATATCATGTTAAAGACATTACGAAACTAGCTCTAATACCGTATTAAACTTGGGAAATTAGCTTATAAAGTGAAAAGCATGATATTAGAATATGTATTGTCCATTCTCCAAATGGTAGTGTCCATATTATTCATTGAGGAAAACAGTAAAGAGAAGTGGAAATCAAGATAATAAAACAAATGTAGGAGAAAGAAACACATCGACCAACAATTATAGGTAAAAGGCATATATGGAGTTTATCAATTGGGGGGCAAGCCGAGTGACTAAACAGAACGAATGGCAATGATATTTTTACCCAAAGTAGGAAACATTATCATTTGAAATGGTGCTATAGTCTACAGCAGCGGTGTGTTGAGTGTATATGGAACAAGTAGTAACGGCCGTAGCAGCAGGAATAGGACGAGGTGACGGCGGAGGCGGCGGCTGAGTGGTGCTCGGTGGCGGTGCAGCCACTGAAACAGCTCCAGGTGAGAGCATGGGTACATGGGAGGAAGGTGGTGGTATAAGGTTAGCTTCCCTACACTTGTATTTTATTATCTCAGCCCTTACTGCATTCAGTTCAGCTTGTAAAGATTGAATTTGCTGCTGCAGAGATGAAATAGCACCCATGCAACCATAAACCGGATCTCTTAGTCTCACATTCGCCTCGTAAACAAGACTGTTCGCCGCGTCGGAGCGTTGGCTCTCCGGTACTTCCTGAACCACACACAACCATGATAATCCACCACGAGAACGTACAAATTAGTCAAAAAGACAAAACAAAATTCTGAAAGGACAATAATTACTTCAGGAGTTTGAATCATGGTTATACCATTAGCATCTTTGAGACGTTGCTGGCACCGAAGACTTTGTGAACGCAAGCGAACTTTTGGGGCTCGTGGGGGGAGAAATATGGAGAAAAAGGGCATTCTTGAGCACACCTACGCCTCAAGAGCTTGCAAGCCGCGCATGGTGTAATGGTGTTCAGGGTTCCAGGAGGACCCAACATATGCCTTCTTCCCATCTGGTAATTAGATGAAACATCTGCTTCTCTCTTGATCTTCTTTCCTATCTCATCAAATCTCTCCCTAAATCAACCACCAAACCAACAAAACACACAAATCATTGAGTTATTACAGTGCATGTTTACATATAAACCAATACGTTCTTTTACTGATATAAACGAGTTATCTTCTATGAGAGACGATTAAGCCTCAAAATGTTCAGAAAGCAACATGAAGAGATCACACACACACACACACACGGAGAGAGGTGTACTTTTTACCTTTCTCTGGACATTCAGGCATGCTCTCAAGTAAAATGAAGAGAGAGAAAGGGTAGGAAAAGAGTGGTTAGCAGAGGGAACGGTATGGTCCACTGTTTATATAAAATGGGATTTCAAAAGAAGGGATGTAACATAAAACATTTGAGGGTTGTTACTTGTTAGAGTTGAGCATTCCCGGGATTACGATTTGCAGCAGAAAGCTTCAATGGAAGCTCAGAGGGAGAGGGTGATGTTATTTTTGTAGTAGAATAGAATGCCAGCTCTTGCGCACGTGCCACTCCTTGATTGTTTTGACTTTTTTTTGGGGTGGAATTTTATCCAACCTTTCTCATATGTGGTCTTTGCTTCTTGCTTAGGGAAGACCCTAATCTTCAATCATGGTAAATTCAGATCGTCAAGTACTCAAATTATTCCTAAATCAAAGAGTTCAGAGCTTGATTGTCAACCTGTATCACTCTTTCTCTAATCCTCAAACTATTGTTTTCTTTTGATTTTCATTGCAGATCGAGAGGCTTTTTGCATGTTTGATTCTCTAAACTAATAAAACAAGTTGTGTATATATGAAAGGGTTAGGTTATGATCATAGTCAATATGGAGATGTGGGATTAATTGTGAAGCGGAGCATGTTAGTTCATTGTCAAAATCAAGAAGCCATCTCCACCACCAAGCACCAAATCTTGGGATCTCCTATTCTCCAAAATCAAAATTTAATTATCACCAGAATTGCCGTGTACTACCCGCTATTTGTTGTCTTAACATCACCCCCAAGTGTAGCCTCAGTTTGAAGAAACTATGCTTAGATTGACGGTAGACTAGGGGTGCTAAAAATATACTTGAATTATCAATTTCGAAAATTATCGGATATTTATGATGTAAATACTTAAATTTATGGGTCGAGCACCTGATTTCTTTTTTACTTTTATATTAGATTTTCATTCTCAAATTTTAAATTCTTAATATTTTTGTTTAAAATCTCTTGAATTTTGGAGGGGCATTGGTCCTTGAACCGTAACCCAACTCTTGAAGAAGTCTAATGGATAATATATTCAACACCTTTTATTTTATTTGTATTTAATTTAAATATATTATCTTTTAAATTATATATTTATTGGACATTTTTTATTAAGCTAAGTTGATTATAAAATAATATGTGTTTTAAATACTTTTAACTGTTTGATAATGAACGCTCAATCACCCTGCTGCAGTTGCTGATGCTCGAACCTATCTTTATGAACAACAACGATTCCTTAACCACTTAGGTAAATTGATTCGTGTTTATTGGACAATTTAACTATATTCAATACTTACTTTTAAATAAAATATCAAACAAAATTGAAAAATTTATACATCACATGTATAAACCGACCCAATGTTATATCAAAGTGGGTGGTGAAAGGGAGGGGGGATAAAATTGCTTAGAATTGAAGGAAAATGGCAACATCCTTTAAGCCTTACTGCTTCCAAGTCAAAATGATGTCACTCAGAAGAACAACAAATCAAGAGAAAAAACCAAAAATACTTGCAAGTTTAATAGCCGTACGCTCGAGGTTAACGAAACCAAATCTCACGGAGAGCTTCATTCTCCAGAAAAGTACACTCATCGGAATTTTTCTCTTACTCGTATACTAACAGTGTTGCCTTGTAAGCTCTAATAACAGTCCAATTTTAAGATCAACGAAGCTTTAAAGCACCTTCATTTTTTTGAAGACTTCGAGAAACAAAATCAATGAGCTTAAGAAATCACAATTCTCGGCTTCCTTTTTTTGAAGACTTCGAGAAACAAAATCAATGAGCTTGACTCCTCCGAGAACTGAATTTATCGGATCTTTAAGCCGATGCCATGTTCACGACAAATGAGTTCTAAAACTCGGCTCCGAAAGATCGCCGTATTGGCCACCTTGATGTGGAGTAATTTCTCTCATTTTCCCGAGATAGATATGGAGAGTTGAGGCCGGAAAAATATGCTTTAGATGCAGCATTGGCCGGGGAAATACGGTTAAGTCTAATCGGCGGCATACGAATACGGGGTTAATGGTCGGGTTAGGATGGACTTGGGTCGGGTTTCAGTCACTCCGACTAGACTCAAAATATATACCTTCCACCCGAATTCGTCTCGTCCCGAGTTTAGGGGTAACTTCATCAGACACGTATCCAATGAGACTTTTTTATATAGAATTTGAACCTGACCCAACCTTATATATATATATATATATATATATATATATATATATATATATATTATTTTTATTCAATAAAAATAGAGATCTAATTGAGAAAATTAATATATAAAATGTTATTATTACAATTATCCCTAAATATATAAGGTAAATTTAAATTATTTTTTGGTTTGAGTCAAGTATTTTTTACCCTAAACCCGAACCAAAACTCGACCCAAACATATCTTCTAAAAAATTTCGATTAGACCCAAACCAAATCTAAACTTTTTTAAAAGAATCTGACCCGATCAAATTACTTTAGGTCAAAACTGTCAAATTCAAACTCATGCCCGTCCCTAATTGGGTAGTAATGGAACTCGATCGTTTTAGCGGGAACTTCAACTTTTTTTTTTAACTTCGAATGTATTAAATGAGACAAAGTTATTTATAAAATCATTAATTAACCATTGAAATAAATAATATTTCAAAAATTAGTTGCATCACAGTCATTATATTTCAATTATCATTTTAAATTATTTCGTAAGCACATTATATTTGAAAAAAAATCATTTATTAAGAAAAAAATTAACAATGATGGTGGTAAAATTAAACCCTATAAGTCTACTAAAAGACCCAACAAATTACTCTATATAAACCCTAACGTCGTACAAAGTTATAACGTTGAGAGCTAAGAGTTGAGATTGGCAAGAGAGCTTTCTAAGTTTTTATTGTTTTGTTTTTGTATAATCTTCCATTAAAGAAAGGGTTTGAAGAGTTCTTGACTCGGTGTTTTCACGTTGGTTCGACAATAGAAGACAAACCATATTCATTTCTCGGAGTTTCATTCATGGCGGTGGAAACATTATGGCAGAAGAGAAAAACGCTGATTTTGAAGAGACCAATGGCAATGTTCCATTGGATTTGTCTCTTTCGCTTGGTAAAACACCATCGTGTTTATCAACATCAACCGATATGTCGGTGGCAACATTATGGCAGAAGAAAGTAGAACTTAGTACGGCGAACTTTTTGGAGAGGATCGGCAATGGAGCTTTCATGTCGGGACACCAAGATTTTGAAGAGACCAGTGTTTATTTGGATTTATCTCTTTCACTTGGTCATACATCGTCGTCTGCGTCAACACCAATATTTGAAACGGTGAACTTTATCGATAAGATCGGCATTAATGGAGCTTTCATGTCAGGACCAAGCACATTCGAAGTAGATTATCTGATGTGCATGGAGAAGAACGGCGATGGTTTGCAGTCAGACCAAACCGAAACCGATGATGTTTCCTTAGACTTATCACTTTCGGTGAATAAAAGTTGGAGGTTTGAAGTCGGTGAAAGCAGTAATCATAGTAATCTGGAGAATAAAAGAAGCTTGGAGAATGGAAAAACAATGTTAAACCCTAAGCCTACTACTTACAAGAGGAGGAAAGTAGAGATGGATGATGAACTGATCAGGATGACCGAGCTGAGACTCGGCCACGATCCATGGTGCATAAAGAAGAAGCTCTGGAATAGTGATCTCGGGAACATGGCGAGGCTGATGTTGGGATCGGAGTTGGCGGAATACCATATTCTGCCGCACTGGAATGCCGATCAGGTAGCGAGCATTGAACGAGGGTTGCCGGTTTAAATATGGAATAGTGACACCAACACAATACAAGGGATGATCTTCAAGCGTTGGAGCAGTAAGGCCAACGTTTTCATCAGTAACCGGACTAAGACTTTGTGAAGAGAAGGGGCTCAAGCACAACGATGAAATTGGCCTCTATTGGGACGTTGATAACTCGAGGTTCAATTTTTCTGTTCTTAGCCGAGCTCCATTGCAGTAACTTGTTCATCAAGATTTCTTTTATTTTCACCCTATTTTTTGCAATTGTTTGAGAAAATGATGGAGCACGGGACTCTCCATCTTTGCCAAATCCTCATTTTAGATATAAAATACAGGGGATTCGACTGTTGTGGATTGATAAAACAACGTAGGGGAGCTTTGACTCTGTACAAAAATTAAATTCAAATCAACTCTAAATATAGTCTGACCAAAAATCATGTATGAACCAAGTATTTTGTCAACACTAATAATATCTAATCTGCTGTAAGTAAAATATTGAAGAAATTCAACAATGCTTCCAAAATACTGAACATAGGACATCAAAACACTTCGGGTGTTAACAATAAGTTTCGAAGAGATTTTAGTTTATTTGAGCATAAATAGTTGATTGGTAGTTAAATTCTTCATTGTTAGTGTTTGGTAAATAACTTTTTGAAATAGTTTATTGTGCAAAATAAACTGAAAATGAAAATACTGAAAAAATCCAGCGGTTTGGAAGTGATGATTGCAAAATAAAATGTTAAATGACATATTTGACCTTTTTTTTCTATAATTACATCCTTACCATAAAACCTAAAATAATGAAATAGTCTTCATCCTAATATATTTAAGCTGAAATTTTATTTTATTATTTCTATTTTTTAATTGTAGATTCTCAAACATATTTTAGTTAAGAAAATATAGCAAAACATGAAAGTAAAAAAAATGTAGTGTTGATATTTTATACAAAGTTAATATTATGTATCAATCTTATAAGATTAACATTTGTAAATATTAAATTTAAAAAATATATTCAAAATTTTCAAAAATATTTACTAATTTTCTTAAGGAATTTTTAATTCATTGTCAAAATCATTTTATCCGAAAAATTTAACCCCAATAAAGACTAAAGTATTATAAAACATTTATGTACTTAATAATTAAATGTATAATATTTTTATTTGTCATTTTACCCATATCAACTATCAGCTAAATTTTATCAAACACTTCTATATAATCAGTTAATCAAATCAGTTGGTCAAATCAACTTCCAGCTATTAGTTGTTAGCCAAACACCCTCTTCATCTTTGGAAAATCAAAGAAAGACACTTATTAGAGTGATAACTGTATCAACATCCAACATATTGGTTTTTTTTTTTTTTTGCAATTCTTGCATAAACTTCCATTGACTTAGCTGTCGAGTGTAAACCATCATTCTTGACCTCCATAACCAGAAAATAATGAAGTTTACCAAGATCT